ACCCACTTTTTTGTATTTTGTATACTCATGTTATCTGAACTTTATCATATATGCTTATTATGTCATCTGATATAGATTGTATTATTCGAATTAAAATTTAAAAAAATAAAATTCTTAAAATTATGGTGTAAGAATTGTAAAATACGAATTCAAATCCTGTTATCCATTTAACCTCCAAGATCCCAAAGGGCTTACTAGTTGCTTCCAATCCTATAACCTATATTCACTATTTAAATTGATGCTTCTTTTTTCATTTAAACCTTCTAAGTCCGGAGTGAGTTTTAACAAGAAACTTATTAACGCGATATTCAAAATTGATTATTTTTATCTGTCTTTTTAATGAAATATAAAAAACTAAGACAACTTTAAAATTTAAAAATATTTTTTCAACAGCTCAGGCCATGAATAGCAAATTCTCAACAGGCATAATTATACGTGTAGGTAACAGGTAAGATCATTTTCCTTAGGAGGAAATTTGTTTTTACAACTTATTAACATAAACTTTTTTTGACCAAATTTATATGCGAAAGAAAAAGATTATTAGGTTTAGACCTCATGGGCTTCTTAAAACAGTTAAGTTGGATGGACCTTAGTAAGAACTCGTAAACGCTTCTAAATATTGGTGACTATAGACTCCATTCAAAATTTTTCCCACTTTAACCACTGATTATTGGAAATAAACACGAACTCTAGTCATCCAAGTTTTGAATGCATTAATTTTAATTAATTAAAAAATAACCGTAGGGCATGAATACGACCTAACTCAAAATAATTTTTTCAAAATTGAATAAAATACCATGACCACATTTTCAATACTGAGGATCTGCATTTTAGTTGGTTACATTATTATAGAATCATCGAGTTTTTAATTGTTTCACGCTATATACCTAGTGCCCAGCAGTCAATTGAATTAATAAGTGATTTGTAAATAATTAGTATAATTTTTTATTTTATTAACAATATACATGGAACAAAATTACTAATTACTATGCATCATTTAATAGCAAATAGCTGACACATCTTGTGAATATTTTTTATAAGTTTATAACAGGGTTAGGAGGTAAAAATCTGTTCCTCTGAACAACAAAATGTTCAAATACGGCTCCGAACAGGGTGCAGAACTGACACGACGAAGGGCTATATTATAGCGATTGGAACGCCGCTGCAGTAGGTACCCCCATATGGTACGGATTTGTGAAGCCTTGAAGGTTTGACCCGGTGGAGAATATATATTATATTTAGCAATTGATTAAGTAGCACGTTAGGTGGAAGCTTCCGCTCATTTTACTAGCCAAACAACTTAATAAAATTAAAGAAAAAATTTAATTTGCCAAAAATAACAAGAGCAGACAATTTATTGTGTGGCAATGTTGCATTTAAAAATCATGCGGAATCGTGTATGTTTATCAATGGCTATTAAAATCTACACGATTCCGTAAATTTACCAACCCCAAATGTAAAATGCATAAGCCTACCTGTCACATGGGTCTTAAGAACGACCTATGGCCTATGGGTACACAATATTTTTTGTAGATGTGTCATGTGTGACAGACATTTTTGACTTGATGAGTCTTAAGTGTTGGCCGAATAGAAGATACCTATAGTACAAATCTATTATTAAATCTATTTTATTTTTGATATTTGTATTCCACATCAATACTCAAACATCTCAAAACACCTCTTAAATCGAAAATATTCAATGCAAACTGCAATAGACAATATTCAGAAACTCTGGGCACGGGCTTAAGTTGAGACCTGCGACAGCTTGCCAAAGCGACATTACATCCACAGTCAACAAAGTGCACCACGGACTAAGATGGACTGTATCTTAGTCCGTGAAGCGTACAACTGTTCCAATGACATACGCGATAACCGAACCGCGGTTGATAGTACGGTTGATTAAGCCGATTTAGGTTATGTTCACGGTAAATGCGAGTGGTGGAAAAATATTTTAAATCGTCAAGCCCGCACACTGTACAGGTGCAATGCGTCTCAGAAAAATATTAAATCCCGTAAATTAATTATTAACATTTAAAGCATTTGGTTCTAGTTTTACACGTTTTCTAAGAGCGTTGACTGATATGACGTCCTCCGAGACGTTGGAGGTTGCGTTCGTGTCGGATGGCACTTCAGGTGCCACGGTATGGGACACGACCAACGGCACAATGTTGAAGACTTACAGGCATACAGCATCCATTGGGCAAAACTGCCTAAGCCTGTTGGGAGACGACTATCTCATTGCTGCCGACAAGGGACCTCTGATACAAACTTGGCCGATCAACAGCCAGGAACGAACACATCAGGTGCGCATGTTGTGCGGTGGGAAGATTAATTCACTGGCCGCAAGCCCTGACGGGCTGTACATTGCAGTGGCAATTAGTGAGAAACTACAGGTTTGGATGGTAAGTATCATTTCATTGGAGAAATCATAACATTTAAACCGAATGATAGTGGGTTCGTTGGAATCATAGTGTAGACTTCGCTCCAGTCCCATATTCAGTATCCAATTAAAATGTAATTTACCAATCAAGTCAACAAATTTAAGAAACTCATTGATGTTTAGGGATTGTACTATTTGACTTACATTTAAGTAAGGATCCAACTATCTACTGAATATAAAAATGAATACATTGTGGTATGGTATAACTATTTTTTTTACTATTCATTTACATTTCTCAAAAAGTATAGTTTTACCACCCCTACACATTTGACTTAATGTACTCATAGTTAACATTTTTCTTTAATAATAGGGTCCAATTTTATCATAACTTTCTACTAAAATGAAAACAATATTTTAATGTTTTGTAATTTTGGTATGCTTAGGCTTGTTCTGGAAGATTATTGACAACCGTAAGTCGCCATTTTCAACCAATAACTATTATTAAGTGGTCTTCGGATGGATCTTATTTAGTCACTGGTAATTCTGTTAAAATAATTATTTTATTTTATTTTTCAATAAAATTTTTTTAATTTTAGTATAATTGTGGTTTTTAAGGTGGTGAAGATGGTCTTGTTTGTGTATGGTCATTAGCCAAATTGATCAGCACATCTCAATCGTCTATGCCACAGACATTTTTTTCTGGAAACCAAATCGATCAGTCAGCACCCAATTACATATTTTCTGATCATTCTGTAAGAATAACTGGAGTATATATTGGTAGCTGCACAAGATGCATACGCATTTTTACTACTTCAGTTGATAAAACATGCAAGGTAAAAACATGCTTATAGTATTGTCGTTAATACTGTTAAATTATAATACATTTTTTATAGATTTATGACCTCTCAACTGGTGTCATGTTATTGTCAATTGCATTTGATATAATCCCATCTAGCCTTACAGTTGACTCAATAGAAACTGCTGTTTATGTTGGTACTACAGCTGGTCCTATACGGTCTTTTGATCTTACATCTCCACCACGTACCCGTGAATGTTATGTATCTGATAAAGAAAGTGGTATCAAATTTATTGGCCACTCCAAAGCTGTAACTGCTTTAAGTGTGTCATTATTTGGCGATACATTAGTGTCTGGTTCTACAGATTGTACGATAAGAACATGGCATGTAGCAAGTCGTCAATGTTTACGAACCATTCAATTAAAAGAGCCTGTTATTAATATGTTCTTAACATTGATACCACGTCAGTTAACTGCAAATGAATTAGAACCCAGTATTATATTAAGGAGTTTTAAAAAAACAGAAGAAGTAGAAAATGATCATTTCGTTGAAGTTTATTGTTATAATGATCTATTTGAAGAAGAAAATGAAGCTTTTGGACTCAAAGAAGATACTAGTATACGCGAAGAATTGGAAAAAACTAAATCAATCAATGCAAGAATGTATGAATTTGCTATTAACTCAATATTAAAAGAAAGTGATCCAAATCCAAAAGAGGTATATATTAAGCATTTTAGTGATTTTAAATACAATATAATGGATAGCTAAGTTGATCTAATATTATATTTTTTTTCCAGGATATAGATATTAGTTCTTTTTCATTAGTTGATTTAGAATTTAATGGAGAAAAGAATGGACTAAATAATGACGATGATACAAATATTGATGAAAATTCTACAACTCCAAGAAAGAAAAAAAGAGGAAGAAAAAAAAGTAAAAAAAATGTTAATGACACTAATTTAAGTAATATTTATAAGTATTCATAAATTTGTAATTTGTAATATTTAAATATAATTGTTATTTTTTAAATTCCATAAAAAACGTATTACTATTATACGTTTTTAATAATACCTTGTATTTATTTAAGTAATCTATGATTAAAATATTCATACATTAAACAATATTCAACCTACTTCCCAAGGTTTATTAAAGTTTATTTTTTTCGTTTTTCAGCTTATCTAAAATAATATCAAACTAGTAATTTTATCTGAGCCCAAGATAAAATTGTATTTTTCTTATAATTTCTAATTTATGCTCAAATTTTAAAATATAACATATAAATCCTTAAAAGTATACTAAACACTTAAGGAATTTATAATGTTTAGGTGACTATTTAATTGAATTATAAAGAATTATCACAATACTGTGATAAACTAGTACATACTATGTTAACTAATTAAATGTTAAAATTTGTAAAAGTATGAATGATCATTTATCAATTTTAATAATATTTTACTGTTGAGTATTGAATGATTATATCATTATTTTTAATAAAATATAACAAAATTAATTAGTTAAGTTAACTTTATTAGCATTTAATGGACTTTAATTTTAAATATTAATTTGCTAATACATATAATATTAATATATATATTGTAAGTGCATGTTTGAACTCAAAATGAGTGAAAATAATTTTACAGAAATAATAAAACAAAATTCATTGTCTATGTTGACAGATGAATGTACATACAAATTAATAAAAATAGTATCTATGAGTATACAAATAATAATAATTTCTTGACTAAATAATACAAGTATAAAATTGATTTAAAAAAATATTATCACAGAAACAATGTTTTTTACAACGATTTAGAGCAATTTTTTTCAACTTATGTTAAATGACTTAATTGTTAATTTTTTTTCAAATAAATATTATTTAAACAATTTCAAAATAATTTTATATTTATTATAGACTTTCTGTCACTCCTGGACGGTACTACGGTATTTATCTAGATTCCATCCACGGAAATATTTTCTAAGGCATTCATTAAAATGACGTTCCATAAAGTCCATCATAAGTTTACATTTAATATCATTAGACTGCTAATAAAAAAAAATATATATATATTATATAAATTAAAGTGAGATACACATTTTTTTTTTTTACCTGAGATATGTGACGGAATGTACTGAATACCAATCGAAAGTCCCTAACGACTGCTTGTACATTTTCATACTTCTTATTAATCATTTTACATCTGATTGGCTCAAATAGCTGTATTCTAACCACATTTTGATAAGTAGTCTCCTTAAAAACAAAATATTTATATTAATTGTACAATTTTTCTTGTAAACAAAAATTAACTCACATATAATTCTGGCTCTTTACTAAACTCTTCTTTGGGTATATCTTGCATCTCTCTTATCATTTTTTGAAATTTATATCGAACTTTTTTATCTACTTCTCTGGCCAAAAAATTCCACATTCTGTCTGTTGTATCGTCTGGAATTGGAGCTCCACTATCTCTGTCAGACATTTTTTCAAATACTGGATGTACATTACTGATTAACCCTTCTTCACTCTCCTGTGATGACTGTATACTATCAGTAGATCTAGTTGCCAAAATATTATGGTTAATAGCATTGTTCACCAACTTTTTGGCATCTTTTTGTGCTTCTAACCATTTTTTCTCGTCATCTTCTTTCACTTCAACTAGCTTAGCTTCAGGTTTTGGCTGTGGAGTAGCAACAAACTGAGAAGGTGGAAATGGTGCATTATGTACTGGATATGGTGGTTTCTGATAATTATTTTGCCAGGGATTTGGAGGTTGCTGAAGGTATTGATAATACTGTGGTTGGTTCATTCGCACTTGATTTGGATATTGTTGGTAAGGGGGCTGATATGGAGGACGGTACTGCATTGGACAGTACGGTGGTCGATTTATTTGCGGTGTTTGATATTGTCCTTGATAATTATAACTGTTCATATAATTCTGATTGGGATAGTTATAATTTACATATGGCTGATTATTGTAATCCGGAGATGGAGGTTGGAATGTGGGCTGTTGTTGTACAGGTGGAACAAGAGGTGTTATTGGATTTTGCATTACATGAACCTCATGTTTATCATTGGGCACAATTTTTTTTAATTGAGTGATTGTTGATAATGCCTTATTGAACATTCTATCACCATTTTTTCCTTTGACTTTAAGTGATGCATTCGGATCTTTAGCACGACAGTGGACATTGATATCATTAATCAACTGTTCCATAATTTTGTATGAGTGTTTCCACCAATGTTGGTCCACATTGACATTCATTCCAAACATGTCTATCATGGTTATACTGAAATTAATGAATACGGCAACCAGAGTGTGCACGTTACCTTTATCAACACGGCTGGCATCTACAGAAGTCAACAACTGTTTAACAATATTATTTGAATCTACGGTTTGTACCCACATGGGCAAGTCTCTATTCACATCAAGAGCATCATCAACAGTTTTACAACCTGCCCACAATAATCTTTTCGTTTCTTCAAAACAAGTGGACGTGGAATTGTTTTCAAAATCAAATAATACAGATGATGGTGAACGACTTAAAGTTGGCCGCGATGATATAGATGATGCACTGTAAAACAAACAATATGTACTTAGTTTCTAGCCGTAATAAATAAAAATTAATTAGTTATCAATGATATTCAAATATTACCTGCTATAGTTTTTATAATTTTTTTGAATAGCTGATGTTATGTTGATAGTTTTATTTGCTGCGGTTGGACGGTATGAACGGCTTTTATTAGATTTTTTATTTTTTTTACTATTTGTAGCACATTGCATTAGTTTTATGTAGCCGTTTAATAAATGATAATCAGCAGTAGTTTTATTTGGTGTAACTTCTTGATCAGACATCATTAAACGATTGTAAATGTTCATCATAAACTCCAATCGACCTTTCATGTCAGATGAAACAACATTCACATTGTATTTTGTCATAATTGTTAAGTAAATCAATTAATCTATAGACAAAAAAAAATTCAATATTTTATGGTAAATAAAATTTAATGTAACAAGAAAATAATATAAGTTGTTAATTATTAAAAATGAAAAACTGATAAATGTGAAACATTATAATATAGCATTGTTTCATGTTTGTATTCTCTGAGTTATATATTGAATAACTATTATATTTGACATTTTTGTTTGTACAATTGATCAGTTTATGTAAACAATTTAATGGTTTTAAATTATTTTTTATTTTTTTAAATTTTATATCAGAAAAATTGGTGGGCTTAACGGAGTAAAAACTCAGACTTATAATAGTATAACTTATTATTGTACTTATAATTAAATTTAGGTTATGGGTAAATTTTTATGTTTGTATTAGAAATTAACAACTATTTACGAAAAAATATAATATTATGTAGGTAATATTTAAACGTATGTTTTTAGATTGTCATTTAACTTTATTACAATACAATATACCTACCCACTTTTACTTATTACTTATCATCATTCAAACTGTAGTACTATTTACTAAATCGTTGCATATTTGATATTAAAATAGCAGTTTTTTTTTTTAAATTAGGAATCTCTTTTTGACAACGATATAATTTGTGCTCAATTATTATATTCATATTAAGTTTTAAGTTATAACATTAAGAATACGATTTATATCAGTTTTTTTTTTTAAATAATTACATTATTTGGAAAAATTCAATGTATAAAATCGGTGGCAGTCGTAAAATGTTATCATATTGGCCAGGGAATGGATTATGATGATTTTTTTCATTATTTATATAGGCAAAATATAAATTGAATGTCGATGTTCCAAAATTATATCATAATATTATTTAAGCATAAATACTTGGGTCTATGATATTATTTAATCTAAAAACAGTAATGGTAGATGGGAATTGCACGGGGCTCTTGAGCCTCCCCTCAAACATACTAAATGATCACCGGTAACGGTGGTAACTACTGTGGATAATAAATATAATTTTTAAATTTTAATTGAATGATACCTATAGCGTTAGATTGAATATTAATAAAAAGAAGTAGGTTTATTCAACTTAAAAAAATTAATCGGTGATAAAAAGTAATAGTTTACAGATGCTAATAATATAATACACAAACATATTACGCAATCGTATATTATGAGGGATACAAGATATTTAAAGACTAAAATATATTATACACTTGGGTTTTTCATTGTGTTTTAGGTAAGATAATTTTTGCAAGCGTAAGATCGACTTTGATATACAATTAAGTATTTTTAAATATCAGGCCCCTCTAAAATTCTGTCAAATTTCCACCTATCGGTATCGTATGCGTTATCCTCCCCGACTTTTGTTGGCATATTCACACGATAAGCTGTTAACAACCGATAAAATATTGTTTATTGGAAATTTAAGAACTTAGTAAGTTAGTGCAAACTGAAATGACTTAATAATAATTAATAACTAATAAGTATAATTTACTAACAATCTTAGAGCATCTATTGGTTATTTATTTTCGTAAAATTGAAAGTATGACTCTTTTTGCAGTACTAAAAGTACAAGCGAAATTCTAGGTAGGTACCTACTATAGGTACCTATGTGTTTTTACTTTTTACTTAAATATCACTAATATAATTTGTATTATTTTAAACTATAGTTGTCACCGTAAATTACGTAAAACATATTATATAGAGCAGAATACAAAATAAATAGTATAGAGTTTGATTACAGAGTTGGTAAATATTGATTTTTAATTTTTAATGCGACAGTCCGTGATACCAAGTACCAAAAAATTACAATCTAATATATAACTACATAAGGAACCTAATATAGGGAACAATATCCGAAATTGATTTTCACATTTAATGCCAAATGTATTCGGATGCTTAAAAATAACATAATACATCACTAATTAATATAATATACTCACCTTTTAAAAGTTGAATGCAATTTTGATTTAACAAACTAACTAATTACATTTTACTATTTTAGACAATGTTAATAATGAAATTGTAAAAGTAAAATGGAATCTTTTTATTCTTTTTATAACCATGGAACTGATAGCTGTCGAACTGGCGCAACAGGTCTCATCAGATGACCAAACAATCGTTGAGCAGCCAATCATCAAAGAAATTATAAAAATAACGAAGAAAATATTCCAAAACGAATTAAAATAGATTTTTTATTTCAGGAATTGAATAACGTATTGACGCGTAAAACTACGCGAACGGAGAATGTAATAAATATATATTTATTACTAATTATTTGTATTATTTGTCAATGTAAAATAAAAACATTTACATTAGAATATTATAGAACAAATCTAGTGAATACTAGAATCAGTTTACCACAAATTTCTTTTTTGAAACTTACTTACTTAACTTTACCTTACGTATAAACAAATTAAGAATGATGTTGAAATCAAAATTTTGCAGTCGGATATGGTTTGAAGTCTTAGCCTTTTGAAGTTCACCTGCAGCACTTCGAAATTTATCAGGTGCGTTATTATTCTTATTGTAAAAACAAAAAGAAATGTGCAAAAAAAAATATCGTATTTTGAAAATTACAGCCGTTTCAAGTTTGTGATTTTGATTTTTGCATTGGTACCCATTATACGCGTTGGTAGATATGTACAAGGTTTGTAATACTTATATCCTTCGATGGCTTGATTCACTATGAAAAATCAGTTTAGTAGTCAGTACTATCGCCATCATGATCTGGGGTTCATCATTGTTCATCGAAAGAAGACAGGTATACTATAAATCGAAGTAGAGTACTAGATGTCGGAAGGCATTTTGTAAAAAAATAACGACCATTTGGACTTCGGGAGAATAGCTAGACTCTCAGCCTAACGGGTCTGCCCTTGCCAATATTAAACTATTATAAATTATAATAGTTATGACAAATATAGTCACTCCCTAGTCCCTATACGCCTGTCGGTTCCGGTCGCCGAACTCGTGGAGATCCTACGGACGACGGACCTAATCTAGTTGGATGGGTCCTTGATTCTCACCACCCCCATTCCCACCGGGGTGAAAATAGTCTATATAGTGGCGAACGTTCGTATTTAGGGGGGTGGGGGCGGGGGGTTATACCAAAAATGATTACATTTAAATGCATTTTATTCATCACATTTCTTACTTGATCTTTGAACTATTTTCAGCTACTGACATAGGTACATGGTTAATGGGTTTTTTTTTAAATATATATTTACAATCTGTATCAAATGTATACAATAAGCAAATGTGATAAATACATTATACGAATATTAAAATTACATGACATTGTTTACTTGAGGAGGGAGACTATCCATTGATAGAACCCTTCAGAGCCTGATTTTAATTAATTAAGGAGGTGTCTACACCATTGTCTTTTGAGGCGGCGTGGAGGGTTAATGGTTATAAACAGTTGCATACTTACATTATAGTGTAGCTTATAAAGCCGCACTACTGGAGTATAAATATAATAATAATGATAACATCGTTTATCACTGAAATAAATTTTAGTTTACACATTAAATACGTCTGCAAGATATAGTTTCAATAATAAATATTTTTTAAAAGAAATCGTTTAAGATTTGTACCTAGGTAATATAATATATATATTTTAATATTTATAATATGTATACATTATCATTTATCATACATCGTTAATATAAAGTTGACTAATTTAACTTTTCTTTCTTACTGATGGTATTATTGATTCACCTGAACTATTAATTATTGACACAAATTAACTTGAAAGTTCCAACTTTTAATGCGAGCCACTTGTACTTGTTTTCCTTACCTAATGCAACATCAATTATTCAAAGAAATCAACCATTACATACCTACAATAATAATGAGGATAGCGAATAAGGATCCATTAACTCCATTAGTTTAATTATCCTGTACGTATTATGTATAATGTATTATAATATGTAGTATGTATTTCCTATTTTGTATTAATTCGGGCATATCCTGCGTTGTAATAATAAAATAAAGTTAAAAGTGATTATATTATAATGACAAATGTAAGTAAATAATGAAACAAATCTTCATGACTAAAATATGGATAGAAAGAGAATTTAACTAAGACATTGACATATAATATATAAAATATGAAGTGTATAGTTAGAGAAAATAATACAGACATGTAATATATTTTTTTAATATATCTTCGATAATTAAAAATTGGTTTATATCTTGAGTTATAAAAATTAGTTTTAAAATTTGGTTGATTAATTAGTGCTGGAATATCTATAATGCTGCTTAAGGGTTAATGAAGACATTTAAAATTGTTTTTTCTAAATGTAAGATTGAGAAAAATTACTACGCAATAAGGACCCGATAAGAATCAGAATGAACCATGAGGAGGTCTGTACACTTTACATTATGCTTGTAGTATAACAATAAATTAACAAATTTAGTAAAATATTCTGTACTTGACAAAGATTTTGATTTTGAATTCTGTGTGCCATATAAGATTTATATATTCCAATTTATAATCAAGAACGTACTAATTATGAAAAATGCAACAATTTAAAGTCATAAGTACCATGGAAAATTACTCCATACGACTATACGTGCATTTTATAAATCCCAGTATAGCTGATGCCTTATTAATATTGAAGTTTAAAGGTAAGTTTTGAATCAACTTTAACACACAGGTCCTGGATCATAATGGATCATAAATTACATTTACTCCAGGTATTTTAATGTTTTTTTTTATGTTATTATAAATTAAGATATGTATTTATTTTTAAAGAGAAAATTTAAAATGTTTAACTTATTCAGATTTTAGATTTTCTTCTATCACTCTACATAATAATAATTTATAATTGCACACTTCGTATTCGTAGATAGGTTATTTGTCAAATAAAACCAGGGCTTTGCATCCTAATTATCAATTAACCCGATACGTGTTAAACTACTCCTGATATATAATTTTTCCTATCTGTGTAAATAATATCATGGTCGTGAATACATCATTATAAAAAAATCAATAATTAATATTTAATACTGTACCCTTAACTTTGATTAATAATATTTACTATGGATGGGTATGCGTAAAGATATTGAAAGGACATTGCTGACCAAAAAAAAAAAAAAAATAGTCCGTATAAGAAATATACACGCCATTTCACTTTGTAAATTAAAAATCGGTGCAAAATTGGAATTTGAATTCAATGATATCAAATCATTGTATACCTGCGTAAAACGATTCTGAGCGGAGACGGTATGTCAGTTTAGGATATTTTAATATTTAATATTGTTATGACTTATTATTAATATGGTAACCGGTAAGTTGAATTAATATTATTCTTAAACCATCAGTGATGCTGGAAAAATATTAAATATACATATGTAAAATTGGGCTGTTTTGGAACCGAAGTACAACAAAATAATAACCATTATTCTTTGTGTAAATATGCAATTTTGTCCAAATTTGAACTTGAAATGTCTGTAAAAAATAAACTGTATTCATATATTTTTTAGATTTCTTAGTTATGGAAAATACTGCTTAAGTGGAACCTTGTTTTAAATTTTCAATCTTTAGCTATAAAAATTGAACATTTTATACATTTTTAACTACAAAATTATTTTCAATTTTCAACTTGATAAATATTATCAAAATTTGAACTTTAAAAAAAAATTGTGTCTATGTATTTTTAATATTTTTTAACTGATATTGTAACAAGTGATCAAGAGTCTTGTATTCAATTTCCATGTTTTTTAACCCAACCAATAAAATTTTATTGACATTTATAGGAAAAACATTTTA